TTTAAAGATAAAACTGCGGAACGGAAAACTTCCCAAAAAATCTCAAAAAGTAGGGGGAACCAAATTTTTTTCGAAACGGTCAACCTCAAAAAGATTCATAGAAGCTATATAAGTGCGTCTCTGTAGATGCAAAAGTGCTTAGCACGTGTTAAGCCTGCAACTATAGGTGTTTTTCGGGGCAAACAATTGAGTTTTCCTGGGACAAACACGTAGTCACGTAAAAAATTCAAATTTGGTCGAAAAAGCAGGCGGAAGCAATTATTTTTGGTTCGGTTGCCTTTCTAAGGATCTGCAGAAACGACTTAAAAGTGTCTTTGGAGGTGCCAAATGTCTCAGAATATTTTTCGAGGGGCTTTCCAGGGTTGTAAAACAGTATTTTGAAAGAAACACGCAGGTACGAAAAAGATTCAAAATTCGTCCAAAAAGCAAGAAGAACCAACAATTTTTGGTTTAAAATCCTTCTTAAGGATTCATAGAGACTACTTAAGCACGTTTTTGGAGGTGTCGCATGCCTCAAAAAAGTTTAAGACGACTACAGATTGATCGATGGCTAAACTTGCTGAATACCGTTATTTTAGCCACCGACTTAGAGACCTAGTAAATTCGATTTCTCGAGAAAAAGCAAACCAAAGCACGAAATATTTCTACTGTAGCTTCCCAAGGATGTGTAGAAGCTCCCTAAAGGTGTCTCATTAGGTGACCTTTGGTGACTTTTTTTTAAAATGAAAGTTCGTGGGAAAAATCGGCATTTCTTTATGAAAAATAGGTATCGCACTTCTACCTTGTGTGGGATGTGTCAGAATGCCTCGGAGAAAAATTGTAATTAGTGCGTTACAATCCTCTTAGAGTCCTCTACAAAATGGTATAAGCAAGAATTCTGAGAGACCATTTCATGATTCAGGAGAGGCTCCGAACGCTTTGTTAGAAATAGCCACTTCACGGGTCAGAAAATACGTATCCGACTATTTGCACAGTTTGTGACACTTTCAAAGTGACTAGAAATTTTTTTGAGGTATACTACGTGTAGTTTATGACCCGTAGATACTATATTTATCAATTTTGACTTGAAAAAAAAATGTCGTCCAATTTCATAAACATCGATTTTTGAGCGCTCCCGAGCGGATTGGGACCATAGTGCGGCGAGCAGGGAGAGAAAGATCTAGATATGCAGAGAGAGATGCAGATACAGAGACGAACCTGATACATACTGCCAACTGTACATACAAAATTTTAAACGAATATTAAACATACAACTTCAATGGAATCTCAGAGACAATGGATCCATTTTTTTTATGTATCATGTCTCCCCTATAACACAATCCCTGAGATTGCGACTTTTTTCTTGCACCCTTTATGCGTTCTGAGTGTTTTCATTCACGTTGAGTGTTTGACACCATCGATTTTTCCGAGGCAGGGAATCGATAAACGAGATCGAAAAATTGTCTATTTAGTGCCCTGTTTCATCTATTATTTAATATGACCTGGGACGTGCACTATCACGACGGGCGAAGAAACAAGCCGCGCATGGTACCTAAAAAACCCCCTACAGTGAACATTGAAGGCCTGTATCTCGCGACAAAATTGTTTCCCCGGAAAAACCAATATACCGTTGGAAAGCCCATGCAAAGGGCTTTCATTACATGTCATTTTTATTTTCCTATGTGCGTGCGCAGTACTGATTTTTTGAGGTGCGAATGACGGGGGACCTCAAAAAGTACGCCAAGTCGAACTTTGAAGGCCTGTATCTCGCGATAAAATCGTTTCCCCGGAAAAACCGATATACCGTTAGAAAGCCCATACAAAGGGCTTTCCTTACATGTCATTTTAATTTTCCTATGTGCGTGCGCAGTACTGATTTTTTGAGGTGCGAATGACGGGGGACCTCAAAAAGTACGCCAAGTCGAACTTTGAAGGCCTGTATCTCGCGATGGAATCGTTTCCCCGGAAAAACCAATATACCGTTGGAAAGCCCATACAAAGGACTTTCATTACATATCATTTTCAGTTTCCTATAAGCGTGCGCAGTACTGATTTTTTGAGGTGCGAATGACGGGTGACCTCAAAAAGTACGCCAAGTCGAACTTTGAAGGCCTGTATCTCGCGATGGAATCGTTTCCCCGGAAAAACCAATATACCGTTGGAAAGCTCACATTCAGGGGTTTAATTACGCGTGTTTTTTATTTTCCTACGTGGTGTCCCAATACCTACTCTTTTAGGTTAACCGTATTTTTGCACCTTGAAAAAATTGAAAAATGGTCGATTTTTGGGTAAATTTGGCAACAATGGATAAAATCTATATACGAAATGATAGCTCTTTTTATGTTCTATCAACTCAAACAAACCGCACCTTCGTATCTTCAATTGCTCAAAAGTTATGGGGTTTAACATGTTTCAACTTTAAGAAATGGCAACGTCGCACTCGGGGGGCTGGGGACTAAACCAACCCTGGATTTGGAGACCGGAAGTGCCCCTCTATCACTGGTATGAATTTCGTTAACTTTTGAAACGGGCAAATTTGGGGGGTCCGTGCATAGAGTCCTTTTCTTGAATTTATGGATGTGTGCCAAAGTCGCATTATTCCACATGAGTTAAAAATCTCATAATCTTTATACAAAAAAAAAAAAAAAAAAAAAAAAAAAAAAANCCCCTCTCCCCTCCCCTCTTCCGACCTTCTGATATAATCTGTAACATCTGTCTGCACGAGCAGGGGTGCAGAAAATGCAAGCCCCAAAAATGTGAAAGGGGGAACATTTTGAGGAGCCACAAGTCGGAAATCAAAGAAAAACGTCATTTTCTTAGATTGGTGGGAAATTTTGAAGAAAACTGATAAGATAAATTCGGAAAGCCGGCTGGCAGGCGCGTGAAAATGTGGAAACTTGGAAGATTCTGCATCTGCACCCCTGGGCGCGAGAACAATTAAAATCCTATCTCTGGGTTTCGGCTGATGCAGTTTTCCTTGAGAGAGGCAGTGACCAATACGGACAGGTAGGAGCCCACCCCCTTCTTCTTGCCTGTCTTTCCAAAAGAATTCGCTTTTCCACCTTTTTCGGCTGAAGTCGCGAAGTGACCTCTTGGCTCGCTGAGCGAGCCAAAATCACTCGCAGGGCGAGTGAGTGGGGGTCGAGGGGGCGCACCCCCGGCTAGGTGCAGAGGCGAGCGAAAAGAGCTGAAGCAGCTCTCTTTATAATACTCTTTATAATACAGCAGTCTCTTTATAATACTCAGCTCATTTTGCTTTTAAAGGGGGATAAAAGAACTTTTAAGATAGTTAACCACTATGGCTACCTTCATTAACCGTAGGCGGCCACAGAAGACAATCATTAATGCCTTCCTAGTATTCAGCAGCCTAACTGAAACCCTAACTCCACACCTCTACAGGAGGTCACAACAGGCAATTTTTTTAAGAAGTTGTGCCACTTCTGTTGAAAGGAATTTTACTTAAGATCTTTTTTCAGCCTTAACTCATCCCAATCCCCAAACAATTTGACTTAACGGGGTTTTACTATTGTTTTGTTATTTTCAGTGTGTATCTCACTAGGCATTCAAGAACAATGGAAAGGAGGGTTGCGAGTACCCACTATGATAAGATACTTCTATGAATTTCAAGAGGCTATTAGTTTTTCTGTGTCAATGGAAACATCTCCAATCAGTAACTCGTGAGGAGAAAGACAATAATGTAGAAGGTCTTAGCAATTGAATTCAAAGTCTGTGCTCCCATTTTGATATTTTCTTTCATTGTAGCTGGATGGCCAGTCAAAAGTAAATTAATGGACCAACGAAATTTTACCTTCAACTCCACGAACTATCAGTTTTATTTTGCATTGAGATATCAACGCTAAGACACTGTATTTTGGTGATGTCTGATGTACATTTAGCTGAGATACTGTATTCCAATATTAGTGAGGTTTTTTGATGAGTCAATGATTTCCAGTTTTTCAGACCTCAGGAAAATGGACTAAAGGTCAGCATTGTTGACCAACATTCACATTTTCTTTCCGTCTTTCCCATTTCCCCCCTTTACTTTCTCCTTTCCTCCGAATACATATTTTTTTCTTTTTTTTCTCATAGAAAGAGGAGAAGACCAAGAGAAATTTATGATGATGAATCCGACGAAGATCAAAGGTATCGGTGGTATCTGGAAAGAGAAAGGAAAAAGCTATCAAGAAGGAGAAACTATCGCTCAAGGAGTCGATCACTTTTAAGGTAAAAATAATGTATTCCATTCGGTGTTCATCAAATGGGTACACTTCATGTTAATATATTCCCTCCAGCAATATGCTTACTTTTTATAATGTAGACAAGGTCCATGAATGCAGGCTATCCTATTTCTAACAAGCATTGAGAAATCATTCCTGAGGTTTTGTTGTTGGTCCTTGAAAAAGTGCCAGGAATTCAGCCTACACGTAATTAAATGGGTGACATGCCGTGGATCTGCAAAATCTATGTCAAGTGGAATGCGCAATGGTCAATGTAGTGCCCACTTCTATTATGATTATCAAAAATTATGGCAGGGGTGCAAATTGTCTTCAACTGCGCGGTCTCGACCAAATTGTGGTAGTGCCCTAAAATTTGTGGGGGCTGATTTTTTTTTTTTTTTAAAAAAAAAAAAAAAGAAAAAAAATCAGCCCCCACAAATTTTAGGGCACTACCACAATTTGGTCGAGACCGCGCAGTTGAAGACAATTTGCACCCCTGCCATAATTTTTGATAATCATAATAGAAGTGGGCACTACATTGACCATTGCGCATTCCACTTGACATAGATTTTGCAGATCCACGGCATGTCACCCATTTAATTACGTGTAGGCTGAATTCCTGGCACTTTTTCAAGGACCAACAACAAAACCTCAGGAATGATTTCTCAATGCTTGTTAGAAATAGGATAGCCTGCATTCATGGACCTTGTCTACATTATAAAAAGTAAGCATATTGCTGGAGGGAATATATTAACATGAAGTGTACCCATTTGATGAACACCGAATGGAATACATTATTTTTACCTTAAAAGTGATCGACTCCTTGAGCGATAGTTTCTCCTTCTTGATAGCTTTTTCCTTTCTCTTTCCAGATACCACCGATACCTTTGATCTTCGTCGGATTCATCATCATAAATTTCTCTTGGTCTTCTCCTCTTTCTATGAGAAAAAAAAGAAAAAAATATGTATTCGGAGGAAAGGAGAAAGTAAAGGGGGGAAATGGGAAAGACGGAAAGAAAATGTGAATGTTGGTCAACAATGCTGACCTTTAGTCCATTTTCCTGAGGTCTGAAAAACTGGAAATCATTGACTCATCAAAAAACCTCACTAATATTGGAATACAGTATCTCAGCTAAATGTACATCAGACATCACCAAAATACAGTGTCTTAGCGTTGATATCTCAATGCAAAATAAAACTGATAGTTCGTGGAGTTGAAGGTAAAATTTCGTTGGTCCATTAATTTACTTTTGACTGGCCATCCAGCTACAATGAAAGAAAATATCAAAATGGGAGCACAGACTTTGAATTCAATTGCTAAGACCTTCTACATTATTGTCTTTCTCCTCACGAGTTACTGATTGGAGATGTTTCCATTGACACAGAAAAACTAATAGCCTCTTGAAATTCATAGAAGTATCTTATCATAGTGGGTACTCGCAACCCTCCTTTCCATTGTTCTTGAATGCCTAGTGAGATACACACTGAAAATAACAAAACAATAGTAAAACCCCGTTAAGTCAAATTGTTTGGGGATTGGGATGAGTTAAGGCTGAAAAAAGATCTTAAGTAAAATTCCTTTCAACAGAAGTGGCACAACTTCTTAAAAAAATTGCCTGTTGTGACCTCCTGTAGAGGTGTGGAGTTAGGGTTTCAGTTAGGCTGCTGAATACTAGGAAGGCATTAATGATTGTCTTCTGTGGCCGCCTACGGTTAATGAAGGTAGCCATAGTGGTTAACTATCTTAAAAGTTCTTTTATCCCCCTTTAAAAGCAAAATGAGCTGAGTATTATAAAGAGACTGCTGTATTATAAAGAGTATTATAAAGAGAGCTGCTTCAGCTCTTTTCGCTCGCCTCTGCACCTAGCCGGGGGTGCGCCCCCTCGACCCCCACTCACTCGCCCTGCGAGTGATTTTGGCTCGCTCAGCGAGCCAAGAGGTCACTTCGCGACTTCAGCCGAAAAAGGTGGAAAAGCGAATTCTTTTGGAAAGACAGGCAAGAAGAAGGGGGTGGGCTCCTACCTGTCCGTATTGGTCACTGCCTCTCTCAAGGAAAACTGCATCAGCCGAAACCCAGAGATAGGATTTTAATTGTTCTCGCGCCCAGGGGTGCAGATGCAGAATCTTCCAAGTTTCCACATTTTCACGCGCCTGCCAGCCGGCTTTCCGAATTTATCTTATCAGTTTTCTTCAAAATTTCCCACCAATCTAAGAAAATGACGTTTTTCTTTGATTTCCGACTTGTGGCTCCTCAAAATGTTCCCCCTTTCACATTTTTGGGGCTTGCATTTTCTGCACCCCTGCTCGTGCAGACAGATGTTACAGATTATATCAGAAGGTCGGAAGAGGGGAGGGGAGAGGGGTTGCTGAGAGGAGACGATCCAAATTCCCAGACAAAACCGTCGTTTTGTACGGGAGGTTGGCAACGTCGGTATGAGCTTATGACTCGAGGACAAAAACGCTGACTTTGAGGAGATGCGCGCACCGCGGGTCTCGGCGTTTCTGTCTTCAAGTCATAAGTTCATACCAACGCACAGTGCGGCCCTTTGCAGATAAAAATAAGAAATTCACAACACAACATCTGAATATTTTTTTTTGGAGTTTGTCATCTTAAAGATATTTCTGACTTACAATGATGGTTCATTTTCAAATTTTTCTCTCAAAACTACTGCAAATTTTGGTAGGAAGTGGGCGTGAATTGGGTCGAGAGTCAATGGTCCATAAGAAATACACGTGAAAAAGATGTCAACTTCAAATGAGATTTTTCGCTGGAGACGCAGAATGCTCTGGGTGGTTGACATTTTCTTAATCCTCAGATATCCAACTTCAATTCTATCAAAAGGATCTTGCGACTTTTTGCGACTATCAGAGATATTTGAAGTAAATGTTTGCGTGTTTCATGTTGCTTTTACATTCTTAACATACGGCTATTTGAGGTTGCCAACTTCAAATGAACTTTTCTAGAAAAATACTCAAAATATCCTGAGATATGACATTTTCTTATTCCTCGAGTGTTTAACTTTGATAGTGTCAAAGGCTTTTCCTATGTTAGTGCTACTACATAGGCTGTCCAAAAAGTACCGAGACTGGTTCTTTAACTCAAAAACCAAGATAGCTAGAAGCTTGATCTTGGTTTCATTTGAAAGATCAACTCAATATTTATCGATTGAGACCAAAATCAAAACTTTCGGTCAAGTATTTCAAAAGTTACGACACTGTTTGTAAAAAAAATACCGGGACCCCCTACCGTTTTTAATGACTATTTTCTCTTGCCGGGAACACTCTCTAAATTATTAATGATCAGTGCACGGTTCTTTGCAACTAATCATGGCAAAACCTAATTGATTTGGAAACACTGTCAAGCCGTCGTCGTCCGACTACGGGTATTAGGGTTCAAAGTCCACGGGGAAAGAATCAACCGTCGGTCAGCCACCCCTAAAAAACCCGGGAAATTTTCGGCAGTTGTTGACAGTTCACAGTGCGTGCGAGGTCTACGCTGCAGATAGTGAGTGATTTTGTTTCTGTGTTCGAAATGTTTGATACCATCATGGAAAGAGATAAAGCAGTGGTATCAAAAATTTCGAACACAGAAACAAAGTCACTCACTATCTGCAGCGTGGACCACGCACGCACTGTGAACTGTCAACAACTGCCGAAAATTTCCCGGGTTTTTTAGGGGTGGCTGACCGACGGTTGATTCTTTCCCTGTGGACTTTGAACCCTTATACCCGTAGTCGGACGACGACCGCTTGACAGTGTTTCCAAATCAATTAGGTTTTGCCATGATTAGTTGCAAAAGAACCGTGCACTGATCATTAATAATTTAGAGAGTGTTCCCGGCAAGAGAAAATAGTCATTAAAAACGGTAGGGGGTCCAGATATTTTTTTTACAAACAGTGTCGTAACTTTTGAAATACTTGACCGAAAGTTTTGATTTTGGTTTCAATCGATAGATGTTGAGTTGATCTTCCAAATGAGACCAAGATCAAGCCTCTAGCTATCTTGGTTTTTGAGTTAAAGAACCAGTCTCGGTACTTTTTGGACAGCCTATGTATCATCATTATTTAAAGTTAAGTGTCTTTTACGGATTTTTGTCTGCATCGTCCATAAGGATGCTGCACTGTGCGACGTTAACAACCTCCCGTACAAAATTATGGTTTTGTCTGGGAATTTGGATTGTCTCATCACTGTGCTGCTTCCCATCCAAATGTGTCTGTTCCAGATTCACTTGACGAAAAAGCCAGGGGAAACCCATCTGATAGAACGGAGGGGTAGAATGTTCACAGAGGGATAGCCAATCAGCTTTCAGCGCTGGTACAGAGTGAGTGGTGCGGACCGATGTCCTATTCAGTGCTTTGGCCCTTCTCTGAGAAGTGACGAGAGATGGACCAATGAGTAAGTAGCTTGCACAGAGTGACTTAAACACACAGAGGTCACTCTCATGAGAAAGATTAGGACATAATAGTTTGAAAAGCTCCAGGAAAACTTTCAAGAGCAAGTATTGAAAGTTTTGGATATCTGTTATCATCTGGACACTAACAGCATTTGTTTGCAAGAAAAATCAAGGAAGTCAGCCCAGCAGTTCCTTAGAATTAAGGATCAAAAGGTTTCAACCATTACAGTTTTATTCATTTAAAAGATAAGAGATAACAAATTGTTGAGATGGCACTATACGAGACATCAAAGGAATCAAAATTAAAAATTAAGCGCAGAATTTTGGGATGACACTAACCTTGAATCATCTAATTCATAACTGCCAGGACTTCGTAGACGTAAGCGATCAGCAGTTGGGCTTGAGATATGATCAGGAAGTCTCCTGCTAGGCACAGGTGAATGGTAAAGTTTCTTTCCACCTAATGAAGGCGACTGGCCACTCGAAACTTTGACAGGAGAGCACAACCGGTAATCACAGTCTTGATCATTGAATGCAGGCGGTTCATGAGGCAATCTTTGAGAAGGAGTACCCACAGGACTGAACTTTTCAACTTCTGAGATTTTATCCCAATCTTTCTCTGGAGTTTTGATACCTTTGCTTTCGTCTAACTGACCAATTTTTGGTGAACCAGCTGTAGAGATGTCTGAATTTCCTTTAACTTCTTGATTTACACTTATGCTGCTAGAACTGACACTTGGACTACGATGCTTGTATTTTTTCTTTTTCTTTCGTTTTTTCTTCTTTTTAGAAGTTAAAGGACTTGATCTAGATCTGCATTTTTTATACTTCTTATCTCTATTCCTTGACCGCTTTTCTCTTTTAGAGCACTGGTCTGTTTTTTCAAAAAGCGAGGTTTCCTCAGATGATGCAGGAGATACACGATCTGCCCTGGTGTACAGTTTTTTACTGCTAGAATAACTGTGAGGTGAGAGTGATGAATTTCCATTGAAATGCGGTGAGTCAACAATATCTCTGGGTAACAATGGATGCGAATGTTTTGGTGGCAAAGGCTCTTTGTCCCTTAGAGGAGGAGGGTTCAATGGAGGTGATTTACCCCGTTTAGGACTGGCATCACTATGAATCTCACCAGCTTCAGGACTAGATAACTCTTCAGAGCTCACATCTGAATATTCCACTGACGGCAGTCCTAAAACATGGGCAGGCTTCTTTACTACCTCTTCTGCTTCACTGATTTCTCCGTCACTGCTCTCTGAGCACTTCTGCGTATCTTCATTCTCCTTGGATCCATTTCTTTCTGAATTTATATCCTCATTAGTCAGCTGATTTTCCATTTTTAGCAATTTCAATCCTTGACTTCCCACATCATAACGATCTGACAAGGAAGTATTTATCTGGAACCAAGAAAAATAAAATAAGCAAATAAAACCAAAATAGAGAGACTAAAAATTTGAAACCATCCTTTCTTGAAGAAGCTACAGTTTATTAAGCATCACTAGAATGTGGATTTTGGAATAAAAATTTCCGATTATGAATATCACCTTGTGGATATTCGAATGGAGTGAGGCAAGGGAGAGTAGAATCAAATAAGTTTTGCTCTACCATGTCTCCCGACTTTTTAGCCCTTCAAAATGGAAAAATCTGACCTTTTTTTTTAAATTTGTTAAAAATTTTACGCTTAATCAGATCGCAACATCGTTTTAGACAATTTTTGCCATTTAATATCAGAATTTTGGCCCTAAACAGCTGAAATGTCCTGTACCGTAGCCTGTCTGCGACTCAAGTGCGCAACTTTAATGCTTCATAACCATCATCTTGCATCTAAATACTTCCACTTCTGCTGTAAATTCACACTCAACTTGTACCTAACTTATTATTTTCAGTTATATTCGTCCAAATAAGTGAAAATATTGACCGTCTTTGCGTCAAGCAGCCTTGTCTGCGGAATTCGCGTCCTGTACCGTAGCCCCCTTTTTTCAGCATCATTTCGTCCGTTAGAGTGCAGCACTTATGAACTTTGTTTACTTTTTTTCCGTTATCGTGACTATCACACGCTGATGTCGAGCAGAGGAAAAAAAAACCGCAATGAAACAGTAAATTTTGACCGTTTTGTATGAGTTTCTAGGTTTAAAGACCATCTAGGATGTCCTTACCGTATACCTACCTTTTTAATGCATTAATCACTTCAAACTCTCGAATTTTGGTATTTTTTGATACGCTCTGATATCTTAACCTCAAATCCAGAATTTCAACCACATGCGTGAATATGCCCGAGCACCGTTGCCAATAATCACACCGTATCAATCGCACCGTAGCCGTCCGTACCGTAGCCCGTAGCCGTCCGGTGCCGTAGCCCGTAGCTGACGCGCGATGCGGCCGGGTCTACGGTAAGTACGGACAAAATGCGAAAGTCATCCAAAAATCGGTGCGCTGTTTGATAGATCATCCCACTTTACTTTATTTTATCTATCACCAAAATTTGGAATTTAAAAAAAAAAGAGAGACGTATTTTTTTTTTAGTACGACGCGACTTAGAAGAAGGAGGCTTTTTTTTCGATGATTGGATAAGGATCGCCATCTTTTTATTTTTTTCATTTTTTTTTTTAGAACTTTGAGTCCTCTTTTTCGTCTGAAGTTCAAAGCAATTTATTTGTTTAATATCTAACTTATTTTTTTCTTATTGTCCTTTAAATATTTACTTAAGGTGATTTGTGACCACATTTTCGATAAATTTACCTTTTTGTTTTCTTTCTTATTTTCTAAAAGTGCACCTAAAACGTTCTAACGTTGTCAAGCTTGTTTTAAGAACTCAACTTCTAAGATTTGTCCCTAATTATTTAATGCGTTTACTTTAAAATAAAAGCAGCTCATTATTTTTGTACCGTAACGTTATTGTCCTGTACCGTAGACCAGTAAAAAATTGTACAATTTGTAGCTTTAAAAAGAGCAAACCTGTAGAAATTCTTTAAAAAAGTTGTCTACCACATCTTCTAAGTTAGTTCTAAAGAAATTACTAAAAATTAAGCGTTTAATTACATTTCCTGGCTTTTTTAGGAGAAAAATGATGGCGCAAAATTCTAGAAATCGGACTTTAGAGCAATTTGGGGGCTAAATTTTGAAAGTAAAAACTTTGAAGTATATTTTGTTTTATTCTTCTACAAGAATATAGCTCTATGAGTGCAAAAAAACTTAAAACGGTATTATTATCGCACATATTGATAGGAAAACAAGCCTGCTTAGTTGGTCTACGGTACGGACAATAAATTTAACTTCCAGTGATAAAAGAGGCCAAGAAAAATTTTCTGTTGAAAACGAAGATTGACCACTATTAAAATCGACTTTCCAAGAGTATGAGTACTTCAGAAAACATGCTGAAGTTTTAAAATAACTAAAGTCACTTTTTTAAAAAACGATGGCTCCAAGAGCAAAACTTATTTGATTCTACTGGGGAATGAGAAAATTGTTCAAAGAGGGCTCCAGCCCCAAACATGTTTTTAAAGCATTCGAAGTTAACACTAGGAAACAAGGCATTCTACAGTGTAATGGATATTCAGTTAGATGGACCCTGTGTAAACTTTCATGTTAATTATGCTCATATCAGTTTTAAGTATGTTTAAATTTCTGTTACTACACTTGTGACAGAGCCCCTATTAGTAGCTGTACGTGCTCATAAAATAGTTATTTGTATATTTATATTTGATATTTAAAAATCAACAAGAAAGCACTAAAGCTTTGCTGCTGCAAGAAAGAAAGAAAATTGAACTTCGTAAAGAAAATGCTGAAAGCTGAAAAAAAAAAAATTCTGTGAAGATCGATGTGATGGAGTAGATGATTAATTCCCAACTATCTAACTTCACCCCAGTCCCAATGTGAGCAGAATACCTTGCACAAAACAAAATAAGCTGTCCCCATAGAACGAAGCAGGAGGTTGTATTTCAGGGACTGTGATATGTATCAACTTACGATTTGTGGAAGGTCAAAGCTTATTCCTTTCTTCCCACTACAGAAAATTTTGAAAAGAACAAGATGGTGACACTGGTTTTCTCTGAAGCGCACTCCAAATCTCAAGAAAGGCTCTTCAAGTTTGATGCTGTGATGGAGACAATCCTCTACAATATACTAGAGTCCACATCTGTATCCAGTCAAACTCGCAATGCACATTCGGTGGGCAAACATATCGTTACGGTTGCTGCGGCTGTAGCTTTGGAGTCCCAAATGAGGTAGCAACCTCCTGCTGATGTATTGTGCGTGGAGAGTTTGACTGGACATGGAGGTGCACTTTCTCACAACATGAGGGGTCACCTCCATCGTGGCTGCAACTTTGAGAGCTTTCCATAAGCTTAGAAATTGGTTTCTGAGAAAACTTTGCATGGGCCAAAGAAATTAAATCACAAATTCTCACTACATTCAAGAGCAGTGTTCGAAACTCAGCTTTGAGTTTTAGGAGCCATGAGGCGCATCAAGCCCGATTTTTAGGCGCCATTGAAGGTTTTTTAGGGGCCAAATTTACTTTTTGCCTATATATTACGGCGCATTTAGCTAAAAGTTAGACGCAAGATGTTTCCGTAACAGGACTAGTAAGTAACTGTAACTTGGGGAAGACAATGCTTTTGACTCAGTGTCACATATCAAACTTATTAAAAAACTTAAAAGTTTAGGTATAAGTGGTGTGACGTTGAATTGGTTCAAAAGCTTTCTCAACAACAGAGTCCAGGCAGTAAAAACTGATGAGCTTAGTGAATATCTACTTATAACTATTGGAGTTCCTCAAGGATCTGTACTAGGACCACTATTATTTCTCATATGCACCTTTGATCTTTGTAAACTTAAAATTAAAGGCTGTGAAGTCTTTTGTTTTGCAGATGACACTGCTTTTTTATTTCAGGGTTAAGATTGGGTTAATCTTGTATCTTTTGTTAATACAATTGTATCCTCAATTATTAACCCTTGGTTTGTCAAAAATGGACTGGCAATTAATTTTGATAAAACAGTTTGCCTACCCATAAACCCAGGGGGTAGGAAAGAAGTGCTTAAGGAACTTTCTAAGATCAAGCTCCACAATTCCTCTTGTAAAGGAGGAGAATGCGAGTGCATTAATGTAAAAGTGGTGGGGGAGGCAAAATACCTCGGAATAATCTTAGATACTTCTTTAAGTTGGGGCAAACATGTATCATACCTTAAAACCCAAATTAAGGAAAGCCCTTTTTTCTCCAGTAAACCCTAGAAGATTCATTCCTAGGGATGCACTCAGGGAAGTTTATTTTGCCTTCTTTCAGTCTCTTTTAGAGAACGGCATTGGGGTTTGGGGGGGAGCGTGTGCAGCTGTTCTAGAGCCTCTTCTTCGCTTGCACAGGTAGGCCATCAAGGTTATTCTAAAGCTTCCGAAGAGATATCCCTCCGAGGAGCTTTTTAATCTCGTTGATGTAATGTCTCTGCATAGGCTCAATGAGCAGGATCTACTTCGGTTGCTCCTGTTCTTCCTTAAAAACTCAGCTCCTTAAGAGAAGTCATTTTATAATTTTAGGGGGGAGAGATCTTTTGAATTAGTTTTACCTTTTGGCAATTAGGAGAAATTTAGGATATTCTTTTTATAAATTTTTAAATGAGTTAGACATCTTGGAGAGAGCCCTCTATTTCAATAAATTCTGTCCATTTTCCTCTTAATTTTAGTTATTCATTCATACTTTGTCTTTCTTTTGTATCTTCAATTTCACTTTTTGAGAGAATATTTACTAAGATATTCACTAAGCTCATCACTTTTTTTTAACGTCTTGGAGAGAGCCCTTTACTTCAATAAATTCTGTTTATTTTCCTCTTAATTTAACAATTAATTAAGGTACCACTTCTTCTAGTTATTCATTCATACTTTGTCTTTTTTCTGCGTCTACAATTTCACTTTTTGTGTCATAAATTTTTCTCTTTCTATTGAGCCTTAAAAATATTATTTTTTTGTTCTATCAGGCTATGCCCACCATTGTTTAGTTATTTTCTTGTTGTTTATTTTATATGGTTTAGTAACACATGCCACACAAGCTCACTTTTGGCGTATGGAGCTGTTTTGTTGTATCTATGTAAATTTAAATTTTGAAATAAATAAATCTTGAATCTTGAACAACAGCACTAAGAATGAAATCGTTAAGAATAGAAAAAGCAAGCTTTTACTTGTGGTGCTAATAAATTCTGATTTTTTTCAATTCAAATAGATTCGTTTTTCTTTCTTTATGTGACTTCCTGTGAAAATCCAGATTTTTAGAGGGCACTTTTTAGGGGCTACGCTGGCGCAGGGCCTTCATTTTTAAGGCGCCATGGCCGACTTTTTAGGCGCATTTGGCGCGTTGGCACCTGTGAGTTTCGAACACTGTTCAAGAGCTCCACTTACAGCCAGTTTTTAAAAAATATCACACACACATATATACACCACACTCCAAAAATCACAAGTAGTAAATCAGGCTAAGAATGAAATCAAAATTCCACCCAGATTTAAAAGACAGAGTCACTGAACAGCAGTGGCATCTATAAAATTGAGTGCACAGATTGTGGCCAGTTTTACATTGGTCAAACCACGAGAGCCATAAAAGTACAGGACACTGAGCACAAAAGAAACCACAAAAAACGAAGAACTTGAAAAGTCAGCAGTTGCCAAACATCACTGGGAAAACAGCCACAACATCAATTTTGAACCCAAGTTAATTAAAAAGGGTAAGAAGCAACAAAGATCTTAACACTTTGGAGCGCATGTTGATTTTTTAAAAAAAAATTTATCTTCACCATCGATTTTGAAGGCATAGACAATCCCTTGTTTCAACTTGTTGATGAAACCGACTTGAACAGTTATTACAACACTGCAACACAGCAGAATTTACCTGATAACAACTCTGTCCAAATTGGTAAATACGTCCTGAGACGAAACAATGCCCGCAGCAGTCACGGTATTGCCGCTGAAGAGAAAGGGCTGCGGCCTCTCCAAAACCGTCCGGACAAAAAATTAAGTGGGTAAACGGCCTCTCCAAAACATCGTCCGGACAGAAAATTAAGTGGGTAAAATTGAATTTCAAAATTTTGCAATTATACTCTTAATTTAAGTGTACTTTCCTTGTTTTTTAGCCTTTTAGTGTATTTTCCGAAGGAAATACACTATTGCATTCTCCCCTGATGTCAGACCTGGACCAAAGACCATGTAATGAGCATCGATCATGGGTCGTAGATTACGAATATGCCTGCCGTTTGAATTCATGTGTGTATATATATATATGTGTGTGTGTGTGTGTGAGGGTGAGGGTGTGTGTGTGTGTGTGTTTATTTATGTATGTATTTCCGACTCATCGTGGTTTTTCCGATTTTTACTTGGTTATATTTCCCTCATATTAAAAAATTTCCGGGTGAAACTTTTTGCGATGTAAAGTAGAGGAACAGGACTACAATTCTGCGAAAAAAAAACGGAGATCGAAGTATTACATTTCGAATGGTGGGGGTGAGAAGTGGGGGGAGGTTCAATTTTGTGGGCGCGATAACTCGCGCAAATTAAAAGCTTTCCCCCCGAAATTTTTACAGAAGGAAGATCTTACTTAGTTCTAGTCTGGTATTGAATTTGAGCGAAATCGGTTGAGCCGTTTAAAAATGGCGAGCTTTGAAAGTTTTAGGCGGGGGGTGTACGGCAAAAGAGGAGGGAAGCCGCACAGTGGGTCACGACCTGAAAGTTGGTGGACAAGACGGCAATGTTGTCGCACAGTGGGTCACGAACTGAAAATTGGTGGATAAGACGGCAATGTTGTCGTACAATGGGTCACGAACTGATGAACTGACAATTGGTGGACACGATGGCTATTTTGTCGCACAGTGGGTTACAGACTGATAATTGGTGGACAAGACGGCAATGTTGTCGCACAGTGGGTTATGGAGATTCATCCATCGTCATTCAAGCTTGCCACAGCGTTTGTTGACATTTTTTCATATCAGACATTACATGAGGATTGATGTTGTAATCTGGCGACATGAAGTCCTTATTCGAATAATCAATGCCTCCATAAGTGTAAACGTAAATCCAACCTCCAAAGATTGATAACTCCCCGCCCCCGCCTCTCCCTTCGGAAAATACACTCTTCCCGCGGTGGACGCGTGGGTCACTTAAAGGACAGAACAACTGAGGCCGGACCTCAAACTATAAAACGCGCGCGACGCGCGCGTCCTGGGGGAAACCGGCGCGGAGCGAAGCGGAGCGCCGGTTTTTTTACATTATGATTTTGAGTAAATCAGGTAATAATACACTACACTTAATGACAAAACACTTGGCAATGGCTCTGAAAGTACACGTACCATGAGGACCACAAATCAGTTTGCCTATTGATTGGTGACATGCACTCAGGACATACTTTCAGCTTGACTTGTGAGAATTTCTCAATCAAATTTTTGGTGCGCACCACAGCATGGTGTGAAAGTCACAGATTTTTAAAAAATGACTTTAACTTAAATAATTTACGATTGATTCATTCTCAAAATTTTTGAGTTCCGCCTTGACAGTTGCTTACTTATTCAAAACTCGGTGCTTACTTCATTTACGCGCAAGACTTTCAAGAATCCGTTCCATTATTGAGTAAATTTTCTGGACACTCTTACTGAGGAAATACTTTGGCTGACAGGTTTTTGAAGTGACTTGTCCCTGAACTTTCTTGCACATAGCCTCATCATTTCGTCACCTTCCAGGCAAAGTATCACAAGCGCCATGCGACATTTAAAAATTTCCGCCGCCATTTTATTTCTTTACTGAGAAATTGTTGGTTGAATCTGTTTGGAAATTTCACTAAATTTTATCCGCAGCACAAGGAAAATTCAGTAAAATTTTCGGACAGCTTCGTTGAACAATTTCTCTGTAAAAAAATGAAATGGCGGAGGAAATTTTTAAACGTCGCATGGCGCTTGTGATACTTTGCCTGGAAGGTGACGATTTCACCTCTTTAGAAATACCAGGAAGTGCCGACGTCTCATTCGAGTCGAGTGTTCAGCAGAGATTCAGTCCTGAGCTCCGAAGGAAGGACTTACAAAAAATCCTGCAGAATTTCCATCGCAAACTGTCTGGTGCACAGTCGGGAGCATCAATGTTCCCTTTCTGCAGACTCTCGGCACTCCGCGTCCGCGCCCGGAGAAGGATTTTCTGTCAGTCCTCCCCTTTAGGGCAGAGATTCAGCCCCTGAGCTCTGGTAAGGCTGACAAAAAATCCTGCGGGCAATACGGAATCTTTTAAAGTGAAACGTCTCTTTAAGTATATAAAAGAAAAATCTGCACAATTGCTCTTCTTTTAGTTATAGGATACGGAATTCAAAGTAAAACGACCGTAACAAATACAAAAAATACTAATAGGAAATGTCAAAATTACTCTTTGAGGCCTTCAGTAAATTACGTAGGGCAATTTTTCCGATTTTTATGACCCCCCCCCCTCTTCTATCGTTTAAATGCATAATTTATTGAAAAAAATGGTGCTGAAACAAATCGGTATTGTTTTAAACATTACTAGTCGCTGGTAGGAGATCATTAAGAATAATAGTTGTATTGAAAAAATAACAGTTTTTAAATTCAAAAAGTTCAGAGAAATTACATTTTAACCAAAACACATTAAAGGTCTAAAAAACGAAATTTGGACTGGTAAGTCTTTAAATTAACGGAATTTGGAAGAAACAAGATCCTAGCGTTTGGCTTACGTAAGGCATCTCTGGACACCCCTCCCCCTTGTAAGTGCCTTACGTAATTTGTGAATGGCACCTTTGTAAAGATTTACACTTATATGTTTATACTGCCTACTAATGTTACATTTATTTCTGTCTTCGGAGTCTGCTTTTTCCTCTAAAAAAAAAAGAAGATTATTAGACGGCCAACGTAAGATTAGGGCCCTACACCCTAGGTCCAGATTGAGGTTTCTCTGCAAGAGGGGCCCTTTTCAATAACGTGCGCAAAAATGCACGCCTCACTCTTATTTTATGGAAAAAAGTATTTCTTTATGGCCACTCGCGGCATATATGACTCAATGTGTGTGGTATGTTAACGGCAGATATTTGCCCTCACGGGGGCGCGATCCAGAGACCTCACGATAAGGGAGCGAGCGCATTACCACCAAGCCAGTTCTCTATTTCTCCTCCAGAGCTGAGAGCATACACGCATCGGTGCCACGCTCTCGCTTACTGATGATCTGCGGCAGGATTTTCTGTAAGTCCTAGCCTTCCAGGCCAAGACTGAATCTCTGCCAAACTCAAACGCCGTCTCATTCCAGAGAAATAATTTTTTAGGGTTAGATGACGGAAGTTAACATGTAGCACACAAAGGAGGAGACAGAAGAGGATACTTGGGGCAGACCAGTAAAAGCCCGCAGGAGGGACTTTGGAAGTCTCTGATTGCAATATCCTCAAGATCAGACCTTACCTATAAAGCGAAATTCCACAAGATTTATCACCAATTTGATTTCAGCTGATGCATCTCCATATTGGAATTTAGAGATAACTTCACGATTACTGAATAGGATACTTAAATTTTCGTCGAGTTGTCTGATAGATGAGAAATGGTAACGGTATCATGGAGTGGAGTGATAATTATTATCACGAAAAGCAAAAGATAACTGGGGATAAAAAGTGAACACTGCCAGGAAATAGGAACTGCTGGGGCTGCAAACACGGCGAACTCTCGTCGTGAGGGAGAAACATAACCTCTCTCTCTACCCTTAACATAGAGTACTTAAGCCCTCTGAGCCCATGCCCATACACAGATTAGTCCAGATCGCTAACATCCAATCTAGCCAATGCTTCAGAAGCGTGAGTAATTTTGCTACAGGTTAGGCAGCTTTAGAAAATTGATGGCACTACCAGTAGTGAAAGAACTTGACCGGATCGAGAGAAATTTCCTATTGAATCTGATTATAAAGCTTGAAAAAAGTATAAATAGTAATGTGCAATAATGGTTTTTGATCAAATAAGATTTTGTCAAGTACTGTTATGCTAAGTATTCTGTTTCAATATTCTTACAACAGTTGGTAGCAATTAACTGCTCTCATGGGGGCCTGGCGGGAATTCAAAACTAGGAACCAAAAGTCTCATTTTGGCAGGATTTTGCTTTAATTTTCGGTTTCTAAGGCTTTAAACTTCAAAAATATGATATATTATAGTCTGCAAATTTTTTCAATAATGTCATCTACTCAGTATACTGATGAACTCTGATTTGTTTATTTCCACTGATAAAGCACAAAAACATAGCCCGATTATACGAATAAAGAAGGAGAATTAATTAAAACTAGCTGCTCCGGGCGCCCTACGGGCGCCCTCCACAGCTAGCAATGGTGGTGCAGTAGCTTATTTGGAATCGGAGCGATTAGTTGAATCTATTTAATAATGATGATGATTCTGCGGCAGAAGATCAAGGAATTTAACTGCCTCTCTGCGTTACAGGGTGGAGACTGCCATTCTACCGAAAAATGTTATAAAAAGCTCGCATTATTAGTTTTTC